ACCATCTCTGTCGGCGTGGTGGCGGCGGTGGCTTCAATCTGCGCCCAATCCAGCCTCCGGTCCTCTTGACTCTCATTTGACACCGGACTCAGGTAGGTGAAGAAAGAGAGGGCGGTAGATGCAACGCAAGTCTACTTTCACCGCCACGCCATGGAGCACACGGTGGACATCGTCGTAATTGACGATTGAACTGTCGTGTATTGTCATGGTGTCAGAGTAGAAACATCCTGAAAAATCAGCAAACTATCTAGGCGGACAAATGGGTGCCTTTTGGCGAGAATAACAACAGGGCGTTGGAGGGGTGGTTAGATTGCAGATAGGGGGAAGTTTTATCCGCCGCGGATACGGGAAAATAGAGAAAAAGGGGACGTACATCGGGCGACGTTGCCGGGCTCTCCGCAACAAAGGACGTACCTGCTGTTGAATGTAAATGAGCGTAGGAGCAAGACCGGTCTCCGTGGGCGTCATCAATTGGGCGATTCTGTGAAAATCAAGGGAGAAGAACAGTATAATGGTGGCTCATGAGTCGAAAGCGACAATGATCAGCCCTGCCTAGAGGGGATGAACAGTGATGACCTGAGCATGAGCTGAGGTCTAGGTCATGGCGGGGGGGTGTGATGTCGCATGGACCCCAGGCATTATTTCTAATCCCATCCCGTTTCAGTTAAGGGGCTTACAGATGGGCTTGTGTGTAGGATCTGACCTATTGTTATGACTTGCGCCTGGTTCTTATCACTAACACGAACTGTGAGTTTGCCCGACCGTTGTTCCCGAAGCCAACACGAGACGGAAAGCGAAGGCAATCTGTTAGGAGGTGCCTAACAGGCAGATAGCATGCAGCAAGCAGCCGGGCTCACAGCAGGCTATCGATCGGCTTACACACGACGAAGGCAATTCACAGTCAAATCAATCAATACTTCAAAATTTAAGCTGAATGCCAGAAGCTGAGTCACAGCTAATCGTGCCGGTAGCCAAGCCAGGACATAAGCTGATTTGCTCGATGGACCTAGCTTACACGCGCTTGTTGTCCTAAATACGTTGTACCCTTTACACTCAAAGACTTCTGTTGTTGCGCGCTTCTTGTTGTGTCCTTCCTTGGAGGACTTACACAAGGCGTAATTGGGCGGTAATATCTCGGCCTTGGCTACCGTTACAACAATTGGCGACGCAGATTCAGAACTCACCATGTTTATCTCCACAGAACAATAGCTGGCTATTCTGCAGCAACAACAGACTCAATTCGAGGCAGCACACGCGAATTTGATGGAGCTCATGATGCAAAAACTCTGTTTGCATTTTTCTGGTCCAATCGACCACGAGGAGTAATGTATTAACAAATTAGCAAGTCATTCTGACAAAAAGGCTGCGTATACTTATTGATCTTCTTGATTAGACAGCGTTGGAAATATGGACCAATCAGATCTGGCGAGAGATCTATAGCCAAGGGCGCGCGTTCTCATGGCAGTAGCGTGGCATCTGGCACAGGCGCATTTCTGTGTGATGACTCATCGTGTGGATGGAGGCAATTCCAAAACCTATGCAGATCATAACCAAGCTGGTCC